GCCCGCTTCATTCATGACTCCATTCCACGTGAGGCACGGATTATCCTCGAACGTGGAAACTTCCTCGATCTCCTCTACATCAAGAAGGTCAATTATCAACCCTTTCTTGTTCGAGCTTTCTACTCGAACTTGAAAAAGGATGAGGACGGAGCATTGATCTCTAACGTCAACGGGGTGGACATCTATTTGAATGAGGAGAACATTCAAATCCTCACCGGGCTTCGTCGGGACGGACATGATCTCGGGCTCTACGTCGGAGAAGAAGGAGCGCGGTTCAATGAGACCGCTCTCTTGGAGGAAGTGGGCATCCGACACTTCGTACCCACTCCCCAACAGCGGCGCCCTACGATTGCTTCCATGAGTCCCGTGTTTCGATTCATCTTTTATGTTTTGACACGGATTCTCAAGCCCAGGAAGTTCAATCACACCACTCTCTCCCAGGAGGACACGAAGACAATTCATGCGATGATTCACAACGCCAATCTCAATTGGTGTAAATTTGTGATGACTCACATGTTCACGGCCACCTCCGACAATCGGCCGCTCCCCTACGACCTCCTTGTCATGGCAATTCTTGAAGAATAAAACATCAAAACCGATGTTGGGCCAAAGATAAAGGGGACAAAGCATTGGGAGATTGATGAATCTTCTTTCCACTCGGGCACCGACGAGACTCCGTTTCGACAGCCTCGTCCACGCCGCCAACCGAGAGCCACTGCCTCAGCCGCCACCACTTCGACCAATCCTTCTCTCGCCGAGAAAATGGCAGCCTTAACCGCCACTCTCTCTCGGATTGACACCAACGTCTCCAAAACGGCACACAATGTCAATACCTTGAGCCGTGAACTTCACGGGTATTTTGACTTTGTCAATTACCCGTACGCTCAAATGGTCCCTTACGTTCCTCCACCGAATTTCGGAGGTGAACAAAGTGGGACTCAAAACGTTGGTAGAGATGACAAGGTGGACGATGAGGAAGAAGAAGAAGAAGAGGAAGAAGAAGAAGAAGAAGAAGATGATGATGATGATAGCGATGGTGATGAAGATGACGAAGAAGAAGAAGACATTGACGAAGAACAACTTCTCAATGATCTTTCCCCGGATTTCTAGAGCTCTAGCTCTACTTTCTTCTCTTCCTTATTTTATCATCTTTTCATATGCTTTCGTTATGTACTCCGCTATTTCCCTTAATTAATTAATAAAAATCTTTATGAGTTTTGTTGTTAACAATCTTTTTGTTAATGTCAAAAGGGGGAAGATAAGGGCTATGCATATATTAAGGGGGACTTTTTTTTAAGGGGGAATTTTTTTCAAAAAGATCAAAACCCTATGCATATCCCCGTCTTGTTTGCCATTATCAAAAAGGGGGAAATTGTTGGAACACACTTTGTACGATAAACTAAAGTCGTGTTCATTTCTGACAGGTTTTGATAATTGCCAAACCGCCGTGGATATAAAGAGTTTCGTTGAATAACTCAAGGCATGAAGAATGGCTTGGAACAAGACCTAAAAGACTCAAGGACAAAATCAAGAATTGAAGACTTAGTCGAGTTGGTCTTTTGTGATCAAAACCGACAATATATTCAAGTCTCGGTTCTCAAAAAGTCAAAACAATTTTTACAAACCATAAAATATTTTTTTGTGCATCAAAACAAACATTTTTGATGACTTCTTTTATTGTTAAAATCCCTGGTCCTTGCTCAGAACCAAAACCACCTAAGTCGGTGTTCGGCTTTCGGCGTTCGGTTTTCGGCGTTCGGTTTTTGGCGCCCGAACCAACTCCGTGTTTTTCAATATTTTAAACCCTATTTTTACCTATGAGCATTTTTAAAATATTCCCAAATAATTATTTTATAAAAACCACTTTTGTATCTTGGTCAATCGGTCTAACACGTGAAAAACGGTCTAAACCGTACATACGTCTTATACGACCTTGGAGACTTGGTTTTTACCAAACAAGTCTTGTTTTCACTATTTAATACCATATACAATATTTTCTAAACCTGGTTTTTACTTTTGGGAACACTTCATTTTTGGACCTCGGTTTTTCAAAACGCGTTTCAGCTGGCTAGACTTTAGCTGGGCGACAATCGATTATCACCTTAGTGACAATCGACTATCAGCCCCAGCAGCTTTGAACTTCCAAAGTTCTGAAGCACGCAATAATCGATTATCAGCTTTGCAATAATCGATTATCAGTCTTTGCAGCCAAAACCCAGAATCTTCTGAGAGGACCAATAATCGATTATCACTTGTTGACAATCGATTATCTGGGTTACCGTTGTCCTCCAACGGATAGAATTTTAAATTTTTGGACAGGGAATCTTTGGATAATCGATTATCATGCTTTGACAATCGACTATCAGCCCGTGTCCCTGAAAAATTTGTCTTCATCCTATTGGAATTTCTAGCAACGGATTTATCCCATTTTGGGCTATAAAATGGCACCCAAATCCTCTCATTTCATACACAATTCTTCAACATTTCAATACTCTTTCATTGCATAAGCATTCCTAATTTTTCTTAGCTATTTGAGAGCCAATTCTTGAAGAAATTGTCGTGTTCTTGAGCGTTTACTAGTTCACTCATATCTACTCTTTGTGAGAGTTTTATCCGTGAGTGTTTAAGTGTTTTCATACACTTTAAGGGAAGTTGTTCCCTTGTTGTAAACTCGAAGGAAGTTCCTTGTTCCTTCGTGAAAAGTCTTGGAGTGCGGTATCTCCGAGCAAAGGTGTTGAGGCTCGTGTGACTCGGGTTCTCAAGTTGTATAGGTTTGTTAAGCACCCTTAAGGTTAACGGAGTTAGTGTAGCCATACGTTGTGGTGAACCAGGATAAAATCCGGTGTGCTCCTTCCTTACGCTCTTTACTTTAACGCTCTCGTTTTAATTTCCTGCGATTTTGTTTTAAACGCTATTCACCCCCCCTCTAGCGTTGGGCCTTTATTCTAACATTTAAGTGTTTTCATACACTTTAAGGGAGGTTCTTCCCTTGTTGTAAACTCGAAGGAAGTTCCTTGTTCCTTCGTGAGAAGTCTTGGAGTGAGGTATCTCCGAGCAAAGGTGTTGAGGCTCGTGTGACTCGGGTTCTCAAGTTGTATCGGTTTGTTAAGCACCCTTAAGCTTAACGGAGTTAGTGTAGCTCGAGAGAGTCTCTCGGGGGGCTGGATTAGCCACACGTTGTGGTGAACCAGGATAAAATTCGGTGTGCTCCTTCCTTACGCTCTTTACTTTAACGCTCTCGT